CCTGATGAAGTCTTTTTACTTGCATTTATGTAGAAGTTCACCCTACACAAACTTGTTAACTTGCTGCTTATTAACTAGCTCTGTTCTCATTTAAGATCCTTCAAGTCTATGTTGTATAAAAGGAGTTTTACTAATCCAGATGAGAAACATAGCCTTTTTACGTATAATGGTTATATCATAAAGCTCTGAGGAATGAAGCATCAGAAAATCACTACTCTGTGTTTGTTTAGAGATGCTGGCTCTCCAATTAGAGTAATAGAAAATACTCATTAAACCATTGTATGGAAGTAAGGGCATCTTGTCAGATACTAAGCTTTGACTACATGATATAATATTGCAACTTCCGTTTTCACAGTTGCCATTTTCATTTATTTCTCACTGAGACTTAACACTCAGAAGTGCCTTGGTCTAAGGTTTGGTTGGTTTTGTTTTTTTTTTTATTTTTACGAATTCATCAATAACCATTTTAAGTAGAGTTTGCTTTTATTCGCTGTCTTCCTACACTTTACAGAAAATTTAAAGGGAAAAATTAATAATTTTAAAAGTATAGCCAGGCAAATATTTTCATACATGTGGGGTAAACTAACTGTTCTATGGTGAGTGATCTTTTGGTTATATGCAGTGGTTACTGCAAGAAATGTATTATGAGGTACATTATATTCTTAAAGCTAAATTTTCTTTGGGATACCAAAGGTATGGGTTATTATATTATGTTGTTCTGGGAACAAAGAGAACTTCTGTAGGGAGCTGATTTCCGAGATCTCATTTGTGGCAGCACAAAGGAGAGGAAGTGACAAGGACGTGGTTGATGTATGCACTCATCACCAGCCTTGTATTTCTGTAGGGCAATGTTACCTGTCCTATTAGGTGCAGGATTCTTTTGCAGGATTCTTTATGCTGAAAAGAGTTGGAGGGTGCATGCCTTTTTGCTTTCATTCCCAGCTAACTTCACGCTGATGAATAATGAGATTTTAATGATGTCAGAATTATGGCCTGGAAAATCTGATAACTTAACATGTCTGATTTGACATCCAAGTCATGCAATTTGTTATGTTTTGATTCAGTGAAGGAATACAGGTTTAACCTTGTCTACAATAGGTTTTTATCAAGAAGTCAAAAAAAAAACCAACAAAAAACCACACATCTTACTGACCAGATACAATTTAACGCTTTTTATTGAGAATTTATTATGAGTCAATAGTTCCTTTGTGGGGCTTTGCTGAAAGTCCATTTCTATAGTATTTTGACATAATATTGAAGGCCACATCTCTTCATTTTAATAGAACCAGAAATTTTCTAGAGGTTGATCGCTTTCTTTCATCAACTGAAATTATGCCTTCAGAGACCAACTCAGTTTGATTCTCAAATGAAAACTTTTGAAACTAGGACCTCTACTAGGTGAGTCAACAAGGACCTGTCTTGAGCTAGCTATGTTCATTATTTAAGCAGAAGCGGAGAGCAACATTTTTTGTTAGTTCATTGATTTGACTTAATTGGCGGTTCAGCAAGAGGGCTATAAGCCATAGATCAACTGAAACATTAAACTTAATTTTGTGAGAAAATAACACTGTTAATAGTGGCACTTAACTAGTGCTTACTTTCTATTATACAGTATATACATACAGAAACATACAGTACACCTTACTGTTCAGAGGTTTACATTTAAGTGATATACTTTAAGAAATAATTTAATAAATTCTTTGCAAATTCTTTTTACATCAGTAGGCTGATTTTTATCTTGCATATATACAATTTTGCTCATATTTATTTAAATGTGAAATAGATAAGCCCCTATTTACAGTCATTAGAAACCTTCAGATATGTGAAATGGAAAGGCCCTATTCTTGAGAACTTTGTATATTAAAGATTTTTCCATAAAAGTTCTTCCATATTTACGATACTATGTATTTCCTTAAGTATTTTACTGCACTTGCTCATCTGCTGTTTTTTATATAAATGTTGCAAAGTTCTCGCTTTTTGGGATAATGCTTTTTAAGAGATACCATGTGAGGGTGCTGCAATTAAGTTCAGAATTTCCTTAAGAGAATAGCAGTCAGGCAGCTCCATGGCACAGTTTCTTTGAAGCAACTAATACATCAAATTAACTCTTAAAAAAAGTTGAGCGGGTATCAGTCTTGTTCATTAAATTATGGAATTTGTTTGTCTATATGATTGCCATCACATTTAGTATATTATCATGGAACTCTGCTGCAATAAAAAAGATCAGAAAAAAATAAAAATTGCAATTTCAAGGGTAAATTATATAAAAACTTGTTCTTTCTCCATCCCTTAAATAGCAGCTTCCATTTTACTACATAAACCCATTTGTAATGTCAAATCATTGAATAAGATTTGGGTCATTGTAAAGGAGTCGGTCTAGTGAAGTAAATGTGACAAGCATGGACAGAAACAGAGGAGCAAAATGAAAATTAAATAGAATAGCACATTCAGATAGAAAAGTGTAAAAGATGAGAGAAGAAGCTAAAGAGAGTTGATAAAAGAGCCATGATCTGAAAGTGGGAGTTCAACATGGAGAGAAAGGAACAGAAATAAATGCGACAGTCCTGATAGATAGAGACAGAAAGTAAGATGTCTTGGGAGAGGGGGGAAATAGAAGTAAGGAAGCAACATGGAAGTTAAAATTGCCCTTCATGCCGCCTGTTCAGCCACACTGTCCTGGCGGTGTCCCAGTTCTGGAAGCCTCTGTTCACACCAGATAAGCCAGTTCCTCCCTGCTGGAATGTTTTCTGCATAATGGGATGGAATTTCTTTAACAGATTTTACATGAGAGATTTAATATGGTTCATTAGGAAACCTAATTTTCCTCAGATGGGAAGAGGAGGAGCATACTTGCTTGACAGTTTTAAGGAAAGATTTCTTTCTTAAGTAATTCTGTGCGGGCATGAACTTGAATGCTCAAGATGTGTAGAAATTCACAGAAAACCTCTCAAGGGGAAAAAAAACCCAACCAACTCAATGGTTTACCAAAGCAGCCGGTATCATGTCAGCATAGAAGCACTATAAATTAGTGTGTGAGTCGGACACAACGATAGAGAAAGGCTTAATTCCTTATCATGGTTTTCAGCAACAGGCTAAAACTATGAAGTAAATTGATGTAGTTGCACTGCATAGTTTTTGGGTGGAGAAAATGCCATAGAAGTAGATGCTTTACTGTACAGGGTCTAGGGGTTAAAAAAAAAAAGTCAGTAAAATATGAAAAGCTATTAAAAAAGTAAAGATTAATGGAGAGTTTTCCACCAGGATGGTGATAACTTAGAGGTGCTTGTGAAGAAGAGGTGCTTATGAAGAAGATAAGCAAAGATGGCAATGAGACAAAATTACTTGAATAACGTTGAAGAGAAGGGAAAAGAACTGAAAAGGCCGTAAGGCTGTTCCTCACCTGCTTCCCACTTAGAACTGAAGCATGTCTCTATGCTGACAAATTAGGACCAATTATCAGATGAGATTGTGCTATAAGCAATGGAAAAGGTTCAGTTCTGGTTTTGCTCCATGTTTTTTTTCCTGTATCAGAGGCTTGAAAAGCCACATTTTATGAATAAAGTCATGTGGAATTTGAGTTGTGTCGTGACAGATTAAGCAACGAAATGATTCTGCTGTGTTGGCAGGGAGAGTGACAAGGATGTCTTGCTGCCCCCAAATCAGTGGGAGAATATCAGTTTAACTTCTACCCCTCCTCCTTCATTAATAATGTAACAACAGCATAAAAACAGGTAGTTATTGGGTCAACATTTCATCATTTGCTGTTGTGGGTAACTGTTAATTTGCTTCCTGCAGCATGTTTGTGTTTCTTATGTATTTCATACACTCAGTAAAATTTGGCAATCTGGATTGGATTTCTTCATCCCCACTGTGAAATACAGAAACTGTACTTTTATTGTGTATTCTAGAACCACATTAGGAGGCACTCCATTTCTGAGAGGACAGCAAAAAGCTGATGCTGACTGGGATTCATATATTACTCCCATTTTAAAATCCCGTATGTATTGAGAGATTTTATATGGTTTCCAAACCTCCAATGATGCCCTAGATTAAAGAGATTTTAATTTATTTGTTGCAAACATATCCCTTGAAAATACAAAATGTTAATCATAAACATATTTATTTTTAAGATAATTACTCTTGTTACATGAACATATGTGGACCATAACACTTAGCCAGACATTCTTTACTAGTTAAATTTTGATTTAACTTTGTAAACCACTGTGTCCTTCATTTTAATATGCAGAACAAACATTGCTCAGTTCCCTCAGAATTAGTTAATAAATATTTCTGAATTCTTGAAATGTTTTAGGATGCAAACAAAGCACTGGAAAAATAAAACACATTTTTGTTAATTGTTATACCTAGGAAAAAAAAAATCAATTTACTATAAACATTACAACTTAGGTTAGTTTGTGCAAGAAAATAGTTTCTGAAAATGGTAAATTAGGCTTCTTTTAGAGGGATTCAGTGATGGAGAAAAATTAAATAATTTAATTTATAATTAACATTTACTACTTGGACATGTATAACTGGATAATGTGATCTTTAGTAAAGATCATCTATATTGTCTTCATTGAAAAATGCTATTTACTTCATCAAGGATAGCGCTGTTACTTTACAGAAAATAAGGCAATACCTTTTTCTATACAAGATACAAGGTGCTATGTCTTCAGTCAAGACTTCAATAAACTGCTTAGTGATTTCTTCAGACAGGAATATTAGAACGATGAAGACAGTTTATGCTTTGTAACTAATTCAGTGCACTGGAAGTATTAGATATCACAGGTATTATAGCACATAGGCCAGAGTCTCACAAGATTTCAGCAATTCACTATTTGAAAATTAAGACTGTTTCATTTAACTGTAATGGAAAGCTCCTTCTAGCCTCTTGGTTGAGGCTCTCCCATTAATGACTCTGCCAACACAGCAATATCACGGTCCCAGTACTGGTATGCTAAGTACTGCAGTAACAGAGCACCAGAGGGGTTTCTTCATACCTACGTCATAACTTGCTGTACTACTGTGCGTTCATGAGAACACCCTTGATTCCCACAGTGTATCTTTTTAAGCAAACGTCGTAATTTGTTGGGAAAGTTTTTGTTAATATACCTGTAGAGCAGAGGCATTACAAAGCTGCTTGAGAAAGCCAAGAATTTTGATAAAATCTTGGTAAAATGTAATATTCTACTGTAATTTTCATCTGCAATCCTTCCTTGTGCATTAGTAAATGTGCTTACCAGGAGAATAACATAATAGGGTGTCCATAATGTGAACTGTGTACAGACTGTTGCAATCAAAAGCCTGTGTACCGACGGATCTAATCGTCCAGTGTCTTGATCCAGTGGTGTAGCCTCTTTGCGTATTCGCAAGATTAATGTAAGTGCATACAGTACAGCGATAGCTGGTACAACATACCCGATAAAGACCATAATGGCATCTGCTGCTTCTTTGTTCTGCATCTTGGAACATTCAATTATTTTAGTGGATACGTGATTGCAGACGTAGAACAGGAGAGATGAAAAACTTGTAAGCATGGCACCACCCCATATGAATCCACAAACATGTTTGGTGTTGTACACGCTTGACATGTAAGTTCTAGGTAGAGCACGTTCAATGTAGTAGTCCAGGCTGAGTAATGTAGTAGAGTACATGGTAACTAAAGATGAGACGTTGAATAAAATAAGTAAGGTAATATAAACTTCATTGTTAGAATTCCAGATGGCCCATTTTGTATTGGCAAGACCTAGAAGGTACACCGGTGCCAGAGCATTGATGATGAGACCAGCAATGGCAATGTTGACAAAGTAAACATCTGGCATAGTCATAGTAGCTTTGTTGTAGAGATTAACTAGGACCAGCAAGCCATTGTAACAAAGGCCAATTGGGAAACATACAATGAGGTAGAGTAGGGAAAAGATGGAAAGCACAAGGTGGAAGTCATGGCAGAGATGCTGGTCCTCACTGTTCTCGTTACTGTTGTTTAAGGTTTCACAGCTCCACATAGTGATTTTAGCTTTTGTATCTTCTCCGCTGGTTACCAGCTTTTCTGTAGAGAGAGAAATAGTGAAAGTATGTTTGAAACATTATATTGTAAGTGAAATGCAATGCAGTATGAAGAAAGCATTTTAAAGATAGAGATTATACACTTTACATAACTGATCAATTTAAGGTCAGTGACTGAAATGCCTTTTGATCTTGTTAGTCTAGAAGAAAGTCATCTGTGATTCAAAATTTCATGAGGCTAGTAAATGTTCTGAAGCTTTAATTTAAATGAAATTAGTGGCAAATGAGTTGATACAGGACACAACAGAAGTAAATCATAAACTGTACATCTTTAAGTACCAATGTAATATACATGAAGATTAGTACAATGTTTTTCAAAATTGTTAAACAGTACCTTTTATATAGCTAATAATATGTAAGGGTAGTTGCTGAAGAATTGAAAGATAAAAGCTGAAGCACAAATCTTAGCGATAAGATGGAGAATAGAGTTCTCTGAGGTGTTAAATAAGCCTTCTCTTGAAAAGAGAGTTTCTTAGGAGGCACATCCAAGGCAGTATGGTGGATGTATACTGGATCACTGATAAAACTGACAAAGACTAGAGGAAACTGGGAAATGAGGTGAAGGGGTTGTTTTGTTTTGTTTTGTTTTTTTATAGGTCAGTTCATATTCAGACTTCCAAACTATAACCATTTAGTTGTGAAAAAACAATGGACTTCTGTAGTCTAGGGAACCTAATATCAGGGCAGCCTGACTTTCCAAAAAGGCAAGAATCAGCTCTCATTTCCTTTCAAAATAGCTTGAATTCTTTAAAAAGTATGCTAGTATCAGTAGCTGTTCTCCAGCTATCTTTGCTTTATTGTCAGTAAAGAGATAACATTTTAACCGAGATCAGTAAACTTCAAAGCAATCAAAGCAAAGTCTCTTTCCAAAATACAGAAATAAGTAATCTCTAAAGTACAACTGAAAACATTCACAGCTTTAAAATCATGGTTGTTATTCCTGCCAGCCCATTTCTGGGCCAGTGTAGAATTTATGCAGCAGGTGATTTCCCACGTCACGTGTACTCTGATACTGTCAGATACTCTGCGCTCTTTTGTGGTCTTCCCATCTAGCACGTATAGGAAAGTATAAGTACACGTCCCTGTATTCCTTCCAGAGAGAGAACAAGATTTAATCAAATCCACAATAAACATTGTGCAATTAAAATGAATGTTACTAGACAACATGCTATACTCCATGAACCATATGGCTAAATTATACAGTATGGGTTTTGTAAGCATACGGATACGTGGTTGCTTCGCTAGCGCTAATCCTTTGACACTTCAGCCATAGCACAGAATTTGTTCCAGAATCATGTCAACTTCCATTTTTTATTTCCCATTACAGTTGTTTTGTGTGCATTTTTTTCTAAATACCATAGCCTGTGCCAGGTATCAGGCTAAAAATACAGTAATTTTAGCTGGGGAAACAAATTTTTATTCCACTGTCCTGTGTTGGATTTCCTCAGCTAAGTGGCTTCTGTGGCAGTAGCACAAGATGCAGTTCTGTTGTTTTCAAAGCTCTCTTTCACCTTTGTGGAAAAACTTACTTTGTTTGTGTTTTCAAATCAGTTCTCTAGCTGGAGTATTGCGTATGAATACAAGCTTTGATATCTTTACGTTGTTTTTCAATCCTCATACTATTTTTGAGCACTGAAAACAACCCAGTTTATTTTCAGGAAGTGTCTGTTTTAAGTTTTTAAAAAAGTTGGTTTGTTTTTTTTTTATTTGCTCCAGGTTGTTAAAACTGCCTCTTTTAATTTCTTTATGTGGACTTGCCCTCTCCAGGTATGTAATCTGGCAAGAGTAAGTCTTTAAATCTTCTATCACATTTACAGCCTTAGGTGAAGTTGGGGGAGGGGAGAAACAAAACAAAAAGCACCACAAAAATCCCTGAAAAAGTAAAGCAAGGTATGTTAAAACCTGAATCAGTAAAGATACTTCAAGATACACTAAACATTTCTATAAAGTGTGAATTCCATTACAGTGCTCAGAAGTAAATTTCTTTAGTATTCCACTTTATACAATGTGTAAATTTCAAGCTATAACTTAATGGTAAAAGTTAAGTTAGCAAAAGGTGTGAGAAATGAGTCTTACTTTCTTTGACACTGGTTTCTAAATAGTTGTGCTTCTAGTATTTTTTGTAGCCCAAGTGCAGAAGTTAGTCTACAGTTTGGTTTTGGTTTTGGTTTGTTTTTTTTTTAAAAAAAAAAAAAAAAGAAAAGCTGTTTTGCACAGTTGAAGGCAAGCAAAATTACATCTCATTGAACTGTTATGACTTGATTCAACCAAAGCAGCAGACTGGAACTAGATATTGCAAATATATGCATTACAGGGAGTGCAAGGGTGACTAAGCACAGGCATGGATACAATCAAGTAATTCCATTATGTAGGTTTATCCTTAAGCATGTAGCTTTGATTACTCCAGACTGAATTACATCAGCCAGAGAATACTTGCCTGTATATTGTCTCAGAAGATCAACAGTCTTTGCTACCACGCTTTATATTTTACAGAGCAGGGGCATGTCTGGTTTCACAAGTGTTTTTAGTAATTACCCCTTTTTTCTTTACATCCTCTAAATGCAGTTAAATAAGGCAATTCTATTTGAATGGTAGAAATGGCAGGCAATTCATTGTGTTAAATAGTAATCTTACAAAATTACAAAACTTACCTTCGAAATGAGCAAAAATAAAATCCAAAATAAAAGTATTTTCTGAAGAATTTTTTTTTGATGACTTCTTAATTACCAGATGAGGTATTTTTGCCACTAGTGTAGAAATCACCCATTTTTAATTGTCACTTACCTGTGAAGGCACTGAACCTGTTTGCTGTGCTGTACAGGCCCAGCTCAGCATTTCTTACCCAGCCATGTCTTTCGTCATTTTAAAGGCAGTTTTGTCTTCACAGACCATGTCTGGGTACGTCCTTATGATCCTTCGGATGCAGCAGTTTTACTCGATCAATCTAAACTAACCCCTTCTCCAGTCAAAAGTAGTTTTGCAGTCGCAGGTTGACTCTGTTGCATAAGTGAATGCTGCAGTCTTCTTGTTTACTGTGGGCTGACTCAGCCTTCCCTCATGCTTCCCCTGGTCTTGTCTGCTTTTATACTTTTATCACATTGAAAATTAAAATCAGAAGTTAAAACGTAGAAGGGAAGGGCGGCCTCCGCAGCCGG